GTTTGCTGTGGGAATGGGAATGGGACAGGAAAGCCGAATGGCGCATGTCTTTTGAGGCAGACACGTCTCAGGACAGGGAGTGGGGCATGGGCATGGGCATGGGCATGGGCATGGGCATGGGCATGGGCATGGGCTTGAGCATGGGCATGGGCATGGGCATGGGCATGGGCATGGGCATGGGCATGGGCATGGACGTGGGCATGGGCATGAGCATGGACGTGGCTTTTAAAGCACCTCAAAGGAAGGGGGCATGGAGTAGGAATGGGATGAGGACGGGAATGGGGATGGGCATGGGGGTGGGGATACGGATGGTCATGAAGCACCATTTGCTGGCTGGATGGCTGGCTGGCATGGCATGGCATGGCATGGCATGGAATAGGCGCTGGTTACAAGCTGAAGCCATGGCTCCTTCGCTGTTCCTAGACAGACATGACATGACCTGACATAAGTTTGTTCATCCGAGTCACTGTGATGGTGCCATTGTGGTGCATCTGCATGCTCATGTAAACGTCTTCCTTTGAGGACGGCTGTGGCGGTGGCGGTTGCGCTGCCGTATCTCCTCCCCCCATGTTCTCCCGCACCTCTTCCCCTGCGGTGGCGGTGGCGGTTGCGCACCTCTTCCCCCGCGGTGGCGGTTGCGCACCTCTTCCCCCGCCTTTACCTCTCCGTCCTCCCTCCTCCCGGCCAGTGGTATCGCGCGCCTTCAAGTGTTGGACAGACGCGGACCCCCGAGCCAACTACAACCGCTACGGCCATGAGGACCCGCAGCACCTGCTGCTGCTGCTGCTGCGGCTTCTTCTCATGGGGACGTCTTTTCTTGACGAATACTGTTTCCTCACCCCATCTCCCTTCCCATCTCCTCCCCTGCTCCTCCCCTCCCCTTCTTTCCCCCCTCTTTCCTCCCGCCTCCCTCCTCTCCCCTCTTTCTCCCCTCCTCTTCCCAACCCCTCCCTCCCTCCTTCACCAGTGGTATCGCGCGCCTTCAAGTGTTTGACAGACGCGGACCTCCGAGCCAACTACGACCGCTACGGCCATGAGGACCCGCAGCACCTGCTGCGGCAGCGCCAGCAGCGGCAGCGGCAGCAGTACGCGGGCGGGTTTGGCGGAGGCCCGCGCATGTACACGTCTTTCTTTGACGACGATGACTTTGACCCCAACGACATCTTCAATGCTTTCTTCGGCGTGCATCCGGCACATGGTAGGGAGGGACTGGATGTGTGTGTGTGTGCAGGGCTTCTGGCTGGGATGGCCTGGGTGCATGCGTGTCAGCAGGGGTTCCCGGGATTTTCAGACGCCTCAAAACGGATTTGGGTTCGGGGCGTGGGAGGAGGCCCGCGCATGTTCGCGTCTTTCTTTGACGACCCGAATGATATTTTCAACGCGTCCTTCAGCATGCATCCTGCTCATGGTAAGGGAGGGGAGGGGTTGGGACTGGGTGCATGCCTGCAGGGATCTCGGTTGGGCAGGGCTGGGTTCGTGCATGTGTGCACACCCATGGTAGGTCATGGATGGGCTGGGTGCACGGTGCATGCACCCTGCACATGGTAGGGGCTGTGTGTGTGTGTGTGTGTGTGTTTTTTTTTTTTCTGGCAGGGCTGAGTTGGGCTAGGATCTCCCAAACAACAGCATTAAATAAATAAATAAATAAAAAACAAAACAAAACAACTTGCACAACCTCTCTCTCTCTCCCCCCCCCCTCTTTCCCCCCCCCTCCCCCCTCCCCGTCCTCAGCCCAAGCCTTTCGTGCGCACATGCACCAGCAGAGGATGCACCAGCGGCACCAGCAGCAGCACCGGCGGCAGCAGCAGCAGGAGGGGCAGCAGGGGGGGGCAACGGTGAACCCCATATTCCTCATGCAGCTGCTGCCCATCATCCTCTTCCTCGCCTACAACCTCCTGCCCTCGCCTGAAGCGCTGTACCGCCTGCGCAGGGATGATGTCTACTCGGAGCAGCACGTGACCAGGTGAGTGAATCTTTTGAGAATTCTCACAAGTGTCACCAGGTGAGTTTTGAGTCGGCTCAAAACCAGCACCAGCACCAGCACCAGCACCAGCACCAGTGGCAGAATGAGCAGCAGCAGGAGGGGCAGCAGGGGGGGCCGACGGTGGACCCCATATTCCTCATGCAGCTGCTGCCCATCATCCTCTTCCTCACCTACAACCTCCTGCCCTCGCCCGACCCGCTCTACCGCCTGCGCCGAGACGATGTGTAATCGGAGCAGCACGCCACCCGGTGAGTGGATAGTGAGTCGTGTGGATTGCTTTGAGACGTCTAGAATTTGAGGCGCCTAGGCTTGAGGCGCCTGACCCGCTGTACCGCCTGCGCAGGGATGATGTCTACTCGGAGCAGCACGCCACCAGGTGAGTGGATAGTGAGTCGTGTGCTTGCTTGGTTGGTTCTGAGGTGAGCAGTCTAGGTTGGAGGCGCCTGGTTCTGCTCAGTCGCCTGGAGCGCTGTACTGGCTACGCGGGGGCGATGTGTTCTCAGGGAAGCACGTCACCAGGTGAGTGGATTATGCAATTGGTTCTGATCTGACGCGTCTGTGTTCAGTTACCTAGGTTGGAGAGTGTGGGCCTTTCTTTTGCGGCGCGTGTTCTTAGGATGATGTTTACTCAGAGTATGTGTCGCGTGTGTGTGCCCCACCTTCCCCCTCCTCCCTTTCTTGATACGGTTCGTCGTGTGTGTGCAGGGTGCTCTCGGTGCCCTACTTTGTGAAGACTGAACCGGACTTTGCCACGACGTATCCTGCGGGGTCGAAAGATCGCATAAAAATAGAAAACAGTGTAGAAGCAGACCACAGGTGAGAAGATTGTGGTGGTTATATACCGTACCACCCCATGTTTTTCTTGTTTCCTCCTTTCTCTCTGTCTCCGCTTCTCTGTTCCCCTCCTCTTTAAGTCTTCATGTGTTTGTTGTGTTACCTCACCTCCCTTACCCTCCTCACCCTGTGGTTTTGTATTTTGCCTGCTTTGTGGGTTTGCCAAACACGTTTTTTTTTTTTTTGCCTGAAGGGAGCGTGTGGAGACAATGTGTCATAACGAGCGCGTGCAGCAGGCACACTTCTACAAGTGGGGGCAGGTCCAAAGAGCACGTGCCATGCACATGCCAAATTGCGAGGAGCTCAAGCGCATACGCACCTTGGTATATGGTTAAATGTAGCGCTCTGATTGGTGAATGATGCTGCTTTATTTGTGTGTCACTCCCGAGGCATCATGTGTAGTATTCAGATGCAGATGCCTCGTGTGCTCTCCTGCCAATGCTACCAAAGATCCAGCTAGTCTATAGCAGGTGCTAATTTGTATCTCAACGGTGTTATAGAAAGCACTGCAATATTTATGTCAGACCCACAGATGAAGCACAATGAAACGGGAACAAGTCTGTGTTCGCTGCATCGTGGTCCTTCTTTACAATTGGTTCGATACCCTTTGAGTGACGCAAGAGCTGTGGGAGGAAACCGTCGGTGGTCGAGGCAGTTGATCTCCCAGCCCAGCACGTCAAGATGAAGTGAACTTTCCTCCCGCGTCGCGGTGCCTCAAGCTTGATTTTCCAACTATTCATTCAAATATTTTGGAGTTTTTTTCAACTATCCATTCGATTACTAGCTCTCTGTGGTGATTTTGCTTGAAGTCATCTCTGAGGTTGGTTGTTTGTATTTAAGGGCAAGATCCCAGTTATGCTTCTGGTTATATGCTCCCTTTTAGCGTAGTCTCAACCTAAAAAGAATATAAACAAAATCCGATGCCCGTCCATGAAATGATTCACCACCACCAACCACTCTAGCTCTGCTTGTCTATTGGTCCAAACCAAGTTCAACCCACGCAGGCAAGGAACCAAGAGACCTCCTCTGCCCGCGCCGCCTCCAGGGCTGGGCGTGCAAGAATGGCGGCGCGACGTGAATGCGCCGGCCAATCTCTCGTTTGCGCTAATCTGCGCCAAACTGCCCCTTTCTGTTCCAATCCCACCATCTCCTGATTTTCTTGCGACGAGCATTCCCCCGAGCAACTGGGAGCAAGTTGCGTGCTCGAACAGGCACGAGAGCATTTTTTTTCCTCAATTCTTCTCTCCTTTCGAATTGCTCCTCCCCACCCTTCCATACTTGCCCCAATATCAACCCTATATCTCAGCCCACATTTTCAAATTGTCTGTGCGTCTCTGCCTGCGCTCCTAACACGTCCACGTTGCCCCATTCCAATGTGAACATCACATGCGCCACCCGTCAACCATTTCTGCACGCCGCTGCCCCTCGACCCCAAACTCACTCTGCACCTACTGCCTTCCAGCACAGGCTTCCGCCGCACGTTTCATTTCGCAAAGCGCGCCTCGGTGTGGAGCCGCCGCTGGTGCCGCGCCCTTCCCGCCTCGCAAAAGCTTGCCCTCACAAACCAGCGCGCCCGCGTAGCTGATCTTCTTACTCGTCGATGTCTCGCTGAAACTAGTTTTGTTAGTCCGTCTGAGACACCCTTGCGTTTCGCTAGTTGCGTCTTTCGGCTCCTTTACTTGTCACTTAACCTAGTACCACTCACTGCCCTATGCAGAGATAGAGCCTGGTCGAGTATTTCCACAGTTAGCTCTCTGAAGCACCGAACAGCCCCACCGCTGCATGCAAGCATTTTGATTATCGACGTCGCTGGTGACAGGCGGTTATTCTGGTCGCACTTCACGACTGCCTTTAGCCTTTAGTTCTCCTGCCGGAGTAGAAACAATCAACAAATTTGTCAGACTGTTGTCACAAAAGTTGGTTATCGGTCTCAAGACTGACGGTAGTCGGTTTCCAGCTCGCCGCAACCTAGTCCTTGAGAATGGCGCCGCTAAAAATCTAGCCTCTCACAAGTATCCACTTTCTGGACAGCATAACGTGACCCATCTCACCGCCTGTCATCATCCCGTTCCCGCAAATGGCGGCAGCTGTTTCCTGGTGACCAGTTTCCGCCTTTAAATCTTGTTGCGAATCAAGCGCCGATCTCTGTTGACACGCCCCTTCTGATTCCGGACCACTCACCATGAGCAACGAGCCGCTTCTCCCCACCTACTCGCCGCAAGCAGCCCGGCCGGCACCACCAGCCGCTGCCGCCGCGATCAGCAACACCCTCAGCAACGCGTCCAGCCACGCGCTTAGCCACGCGCTTAGTAACGCGTCTAGCGACGCGGCATCGGAGCACCTGCAATACGACGACGAAAGCCGCCATGTCCCCGTGTCTTCCGGCGGCAACGGCGGGGACGTCGCGGTGCCGATTAACCGTCTCACTAGCGTCGAGTGGGCGGAAATGGGGGCGCTGGTAGCGGAAACCACGCCGGAGTATCAGCCAATCGCGATGCCGCCAGACCAGCAGCCCGAGCCGCGCGACGACGGGTCGCAGTCAGCGGTCAGTCAACGTCAGGTCGCGGCGGCGCCGCAGGACTCGCGGCGGCGCGGCGGCGCGGCCAAATACCTCCGCACGAGCCTCTACTCTTTATTCTTTGGGTCGCGCATTAATCTTCTGCTGGTGTTCGTGCCCGTGACGTTTTTCTGCGTGGCGCATAATTTACCTTCTAACGTCATATTCACATTCAGCCTGCTCTCGCTAGTCCCGCTTGCGGAGCGGCTCGGCTTTGTAACGGAGCAGCTTGCATTGTGTACGAACCCGACCCTGGGAGGGCTTCTTAACGCGACGTTCAGTAACGCGCCGGAGCTGATCATCGTTATGGTGGCGCTGCGAAGCGGGCTTGTACGCGTTATACAGCTCTCCCTTTTAGGGTCCATTCTGGGGAACCTTCTGCTGTGTCTCGGGAGCGCGTTTCTGGCCGGCGGGATGGTGCATCGGAACCTGCGCTTCAACAAGCCAGCGGCGCAGATGAATTGCGGTGAGTGCGGGGAACCGGAACGCGGTGCGAAGAAGGACGCGAAATTATAAGGACGCACACACGAGGTTCACATGTCGCGCTTCGACAAGCTCTCTGCGCGCAATGTCCTCCTCCGCCGGCGCGCAATGTTCTGCGCCCTGGGCGCGCGCACGCGGTTTTCTACCACAATGCGATCTGATCCTCTCGAATCAGCTCTCATCCGTTTCCTCCCTGTGCCCTCTCAAGCCTGATATCCCAATGCCCGAACCCTTCAAAGCCTTCTCTCCCCATCATTCCCCCATCTCGCTCACCTCTTTCCTCCCCTTCTCTCCACTCCGCCCCTTTCCCCTATGTCCCCGCCAGGTGCGCTGACGCTGGCGATGAGCGGGCTGCTCTTCCCGAACCTGCTCCACGCGACGGGCACGGAGCTCCACGAGAAGGCCGCATCCTGCTCCCCTATATCCCCTCCTCATTTTCATTCTCCCCTCCTTGTTCCCCAGGCGCTCTCATGCTCGCGATGAGCGGGCTGCTCTTCCCGAACCTGCTCCACGCGACGGGCACGGAGCTCCACGAGAACGACTCGGAGCTCGCGCTCTCGCGCCTCGCCGCCGTGCTCATGCTCGTCGCGTACTTCGCCTACATCTACTTCCAACTCTTCACACATAAAGACCTATTTGAAGGCGGCCCGGACGGCGACGGCGGCGCGGACGGCGACGCGGAGGGGGGAGGGGAGGCGGAGGAGGAGGAGGAGGAGCATTCGGTGCTGGGGTTTTGGGGCGGCGTGTTTTGGCTCGCGCTGGTGTCGGCGTTAATTAGTGTGATTAGTGACTATTTGGTGAACAGCGTGGATGGCGCTGCGGAGGAGTGGAACGTGCCTGTATCGGGGCTGTGCGTGGTGGTGCTGCCGCTCGTTAATAACGTGACTGGTGAGTCGATTGGGGGGAAGCAGAGAGAGGAAGGGGGAGAGGGAGGAAGGGAGAGAGGGAGGAAGGGAGAGAGGGAGGAAGGGAGAGAGGGAGGAAGGGAGAGAGGGAGGAAGGGAGAGAGGGAGGAAGGGAGAGAGGGAGGAAGGGAGAGAGGGAGGAAGGGAGAGAGGGAGGAAGGGAGAGAGGGAGGAAGGGAGAGAGGGAGGAAGGGAGAGAGGGAGGAAGGGAGAGAGGGAGGAAGGGAGAGAGGGAGGAAGGGAGAGAGAGGAGGAAGGGAGAGAGGGAGGAAGGGAGAGAGGGAGGAAGGGAGAGAGGGAGGAAGGGAGAGAGGGAGGAAGGGAGAGAGGGAGGAAGGGAGAGGGAGGAAGGGAGAGGGAGGAAGGGAGAGAGGGAGGAAGGGAGAGGGAGGAAGGGAGAGAGGGAGGAAGGGAGAGAGAGAGAGGGAGGAAGGGAGAGGGAGGAGGACGGGAGGTGGGCGGCATGGAGAGGAGGAGAGAGTTAGAAAGGGTAGGTTTGAGTCACCTCAACTACCTCTCCCACCATTCTCCCCCCATTCTCTCCCCATTCCCCTGCCATCCCCAGAGCACACCTCCGCCAGAGCATCCGCAGCAAGCTCAACGTGTCCCCTCTCCATCTCAGTCGGGAGGAAGGGAGAGAGGGAGGAAGGGAGAGAGGGAGGAAGGGAGAGAGGGAGGAAGGGAGAGAGGGAGGAAGGGAGAGAGGGAGGAAGGGAGAGAGGGAGGAAGGGAGAGAGGGAGGAAGGGAGAGAGGGAGGAAGGGAGAGAGGGAGGAAGGGAGAGAGGGAGGAAGGGAGAGAGGGAGGAAGGGAGAGAGGGAGGAAGGGAGAGAGGGAGGAAGGGAGAGAGAGAGGAAGGGAGAGAGGGAGGAAGGGAGAGAGGGAGGAAGGGAGAGAGGGAGGAAGGGAGAGAGGGAGGAAGGGAGAGAGGGAGGAAGGGAGAGAGGGAGGAAGGGAGAGAGGGAGGAAGGGAGAGGGAGGAAGGGAGAGAGGGAGGAAGGGAGAGAGAGAGAGGGAGGAAGGGAGAGGGAGGAGGACGGGAGGTGGGCGGCATGGAGAGGAGGAGAGAGTTAGAAAGGGTAGGTTTGAGTCACCTCAACTACCTCTCCCACCATTCTCCCCCCATTCTCTCCCCATTCCCCTGCCATCCCCAGAGCACACCTCCGCCAGAGCATCCGCAGCAAGCTCAACGTGTCCCCTCTCCATCTCAGTCGGCTCGTGCATCCCTCAGAACCTCTCTCAACCCATTCCCCTCTTCCCCTGCCCACCCCTCGCCCACCACCAGAGCACACGTCCGCCATCCTCTTTGGAATCCGCAACAAGCTAGACGACTCCCTCTCCATCGCCGTCGGCTCGTCCATCCAGCTCTTCTACTCCTCTCAACCTTTCTTCCCCTGCTCCCCCCCTTCCCCCTCCCTTCCCCCCCCCTCACTCCACCAGAGCACACGTCCGCCATTCTCTTCGGAATCCGCAACAAGCTAGACGTCTCGCTCTCCATCGCGGTCGGGTCGTCCATCCAGCTGGCCATGTTCCTCATCCCGCTCGCCGTCCTCGGCGGGTGGGCAATGGACGTCCCCATGGACCTCAACTTCCACCGCTTCGAGACCTGCACGCTCTTCATCACCGTCCTCGCGACTGTGCTCACGCTGCATGAGGGCTCGGCGAATTGGCTCAAGGGATTCATGTTCGTGCTCATGTATCTCATTCTTGCCGCGACGTTCTTCAATCATAAAGAGGATTATTTGGAGCCGCAAGCAGCAGCAGCGGTCGCAGATGCTGCCGCGGGGGCCGCCGCCGCCGCCGCAGCAGCAGCAGGAGGCGTGCAGACCATTGCGTCGCCGGTGGTTTTGTAACCCTAACAAACCCACCCCCTTGTGCCCTGGTTGGGAGAGCGGTGGAATCTCCGAATCCTGCTATGCGTACAGCCGGTGTCCCTCTCTCCCTGGTTCGTCTGGGGGCTTCTGCTCACCTGCCAGTCCCTCCTTGCCTCTCCCTCAAGCTGTTCGTTCTCTCTTCCTCTACTTCAAGACCACCTTTTCCATCATTTTCTCTCCCTCTCAATTTTGGTACGGGATGCCCGCCACCTGCCCTGGGCAAGCCTTGCTTGCTGACTGTGTGTGTGTCCGTATGGCTGGGATTTGTTGCTGCTTTCCTCGCTCCCTCACTTCTTCCATTCACCTTCTCCGAAAGGGTGTCTTTCCACAACAGCAGCAGCAGCAGCAGCTGAACGACTGTTGAACACTTTTGCTGGAGCAGGCCACTTTAATCGGCAACGCCTGGATAGGCAAAAAATATACTGTACTAGACTGTGAGCCGCGTGTCGTGCTTGTATTTAGAGTGCCACTCCAGGGATAACTTGCACAAATTTCAGAATACACTTTAAGTTGTTACACACACACTGATTTCCTAAAAATCTCCTAACATTGTTTGCTGCTCTGTTCCCAATGTCCCAACCGTGTTTATTTAACACAATCATTAGCCTTCCTGTTGGGGATAGCAAGGAATACACTATACATGAGTGAACTTTCACACCTTCTTGCCAGGGGTCGCCCAGGTTGGCCCACTGTTTGGCTCTCAAATATCTTGAGCACCTAGTCGTACTCATGAACTGCCTACTCCCTCACCTAAGTAGACAGCCTGTGCGCCTTGCACTAGTTTTAGGAGCCGCGATATTTACAGCAACTCCCAAGGCACACATGCTGTCTCGCCAATAGCTGGGCAGCAGGCGCCTAGAGTCACCCGCTATTTACATACGTTGTCGCGTTACTCACACGGAACGTGACAGTCAAACGAGTGCTTCACCATGCTACCCCACGTTTAGCGCGCGTATTCACCCGCGCTCTCCCTCGCCACCCGCGCCCGCCCTCGCCACCCGCGCCCTCCCTCGTCACTCGCGCCTGCCCTCGTCACTCGCGCTTGCCCGGGATTCCGTGCTTCTGCTCGTCATCCGTTTCCCTTCGTCGCGCGCATTTCCGCCAGTCGCGCACGCGCCTTCGCGTCACGCTCGCTTCCCCTCGATGCGCCCTCTCCTCCTGCGCGTTTCCCCTCGATACCCGCTATCCTCCCACGCGCGTAACGCGCGCTTCCCTTCGGCAGACGCCCTGCTCCCCTCGTCACGCGCTCAATCATTCAGTCGCGATCTTCCGTAGATCAATAGCTGAAGCCGACGTCACGCGCATGTGTCGTTGCCCCAGTTGCTGCTGCCTGGCCCTCACCTCCTGTCGTCGCCTCCGCCACCCCACTTGGATGGCGTTTGTCGTACCGGTAAGTGCCAACCCCTACCCACGTCGCCATCGACACCATCGTGTGTAGCATCTCCCTCATACGCCCTTGCTCCGTCCAGCCGCAGGGTTTAGCCTACTGATGTGATGGGCAGAAAGGGAGGGACAGAGGGGGATGACCAGCTGAGGGGGGGATGGTGTCACATTGAAAGCTTGACTGATGGGCGGTGGACAGCAAGGGAACGGGCTGGGGAGTGGGAAGGTCACAAGGATAAGGACAAGGGGGAGAGGGGGAAGGACAAAGGGGGAGAGACAGAGGGGGGAGGAACAGGGGGGGGGGGCAGAGGGGGAGAGACAGAGGGGGAAGGACAGAGGTGGATAGACAGAGGGCGAAGGGACGAGAGGGAGAGACAGAATGGGAAGGATGGAGGGGGAGGGAGGGGGAAGGGCAGAGAGTGAGAGCCAGAGGTGAGAGCAGGTTTACCGCCCAATCTATTGTCCTTTGCCTCACCTGCTTCTCCCCTCCCTCCTCCCAGCTTCCCCCCTCCCTCCTCCTAGCTTCCCCCCTCCCTCCTCCCTGCTTCACCCCTCCCTCCTCCCTGCTTCCCTCCCTCCTCCCAGCTTCCCCCCTCCCTCCTCCCAGCTTCCCCCCTCCCTCCTCCCTGCTTCTCCCCTCCCTCCTCCCAGCTTCCCCCCTCCCTCCTCCCAGCTTCCCCCCTCCCTACTCCCTGCTTCACCCCTCCCTCCTCCCTGCTTCCCCCCTCCCTTCCCCCTTCTTCCCCCCTCCCTTCCCCCTGCTTCCCCCCTCCCTCCTCCCTGCTTCCCCCCTCCCTCCCCCCTGCTTCACCCCTCCATCCTCCCTGCTTCCCCCCTCCCTCCTCCCTGCTTCCCCCCTCCCTCCCCCCTGCTCCCCCCCTCCCTCCGCCCTGCTTCCCCCCTCCCTCCGCCCTGCTTCCCCCCTCCCTCCCCCCTGCTTCCCCCCTGCCTACTCCCTGCTTCACCCCTCCCTCCGCCCTGCTCCCCCCCTCCCTCCGCCCTGCTCCCCCCCTCCCTCCGCCCTGCTCCCCCCCTCCCTCCGCCTTGCTTCCCCTCTCCCTCCGCCCTGCTCCCCCCCTCCCTCCGCCCTGCTCCCCCCCTCCCTCCGCCTTGCTTCCCCTCTCCCTCCGCCCTGCTTCCCCCCTCCCTCATAGAGGTGAGCGTCACGCAGCAGGTGACCCTTAGCTTTCCCCATATGCCACCCCTCTACCTCGATCTAACCATCTTCCTTGTCCCTCCCGATGTACCTCTCCAATCCCTCCCCATGTGCCTCTCCTCCCCCTCCCCATGTGCCTCTCCTCCCCCTCCCCATGTGCCTCTCCTCCCCCTCCCCATGTGCCTTTCCTCTTCATCCCACGCGCAACAAGGGGGCAGCGCAACAGAGTTGGGAACAAGCTCATTTTCTTTTCACCCCCTCTTCCTGCCTCCACCTGACTCCTTGCAGGGCTATTTGGCGTTCATTCACATCCGTAAGGAGGAGGGAGGGCGCAGGTGCAACTAGGGGGCAGCTCAGCAGACTTTGGAATGAGCTCACGTTCCCCATGCCCCGTGCTCTCTCGACTTCCCTTCTTATTCCAGACCTATCTGGATTGCATTCACATTAGCAAGGAGAAGGGTGGGCGCACGCGCATGTTTATGCTTACGGAAGCATGAGGACCATAACTCCACACAGATGGCGACAGCACTGGTTGCTAAAGGGGTTGGCATTAGCATAGATTGTCACATGCTGGTTGAACAGAGGCATTTCATAAGGCTATCTCTATCCTCACTTCCAACTGCCTAAATTGTCTATGAATACTATAATATGTGCATGCGGTCATTCAATGTGTCGCTATGCAGATTGTTACGAACGTAGATGCATCCTAGCATGACTAGGTTTAGGACAGAACGGGAAAGACCACTAAACCCACTCAAGCATGGCATGTCGAAGACCACAGGTGCATCATGGGGAAGTAAACACAACCCATTCACTCATCCTGACCTGCCACCCATAAGCTCCACTTCCTCCCCATCGTAACGGCCTTCTATCCACCACTGTCGCTCCACTCCCCCGCATCTCTTACCGTATCATTGCGTTTGCCACTTCAACCTCCTGATCCGATGGGGTTTCATCCACATCCCTCTCACAGTGGCAACCTGCAATTAGCGCCAATGAGATGGGTGGTAAGCCAGATTTTAGGGCGGTGTGCCTGTCACGCTAAATAGTCTCGGGGACAACCATCTGGGCAGGGCAGGGCTGGGGCATGCTGGACCCGGGGGGGGGGGGGGGGGGGAAAGGGCGGGGCGGTGCATGAGAGGGCAGGGCAGAGCTGCAAGGACAGGGCAGAGCCGCAAGGACATGTGACACAACTGCTGGAGAGCGGGAGAGGTGGGGGGTCAGGGGTAGGGGGCCAGGGGCAAGGTTTAGGGTATCTTAGGATAAAAAAGAAATTTGCAATTGCACGCCAAGCAACACACAACGGCTGTGTGCATGGTGGTGACAGCAGGCCCAAGGCACCACCAACATTGGTTGCTGCTGCTTTGGGACAGAGCAGGGGCGTACATGATGGTGACAGCAGGCCAAAGGCAGCAGCAACATTGGTTGCTGCTGCCTTGGGACAGCACAGGTGCGTGCATGGTGGTGACAGCAGGCCCAAAGCATGCTTCCCAACATTGATTGCGCCCTGCCTTGGGACAACTCTGGTGCGTGCATGGAGGTGACACGTGAGCATGATAGGACCCCCAAGGCAGCAGCAACCTTTGTTAACGGTTTGCTGCTGCGTTTGCCTTGTGACATGTGAGCATGATAGGACCGCCAAGGCAGCAACAAACCGTTGTTGATGGTTGCTGCTGCGTTTGCCTCGTGTCATGTGAGCATGATAGGACCCCCAAGGCAGCAGCAACCCGATGTTGATGGTTGCTGCTGCCTTTGCCTCGTGAAACGTGAGCGTGATAGGACCCCCAAGGCAGCAGCAACCGTTGTTGATGGTTGCTGCTGCCTTTGCCTCGTGACACGTGAGCGTGATAGGACCCCCAAGGCAGCAGCAACCTTTGTTGATGGTTGCTGCTTCCTTTGCGGGGTGACACGTGAGCGTGATAGGACCCCCAAGGCAGCAGCAACCGTTGTTGATGGTTGCTACTGCCTTTGCCTCGTGACACGTGAGCGTGATAGGACCCCCAAGGCAGCAGCAACCGTTGTTGATGGTTGCTGCTGCCTTGGCATCGTGACATGTGAGCGTGATAGGACCCCCAAGGCAGCAGCGACCATTGTCGATGTACTATGGTCGATGTAGGCTAGAGCATACTAGTTTCGCTCCGTACACAGAGTCCTCACATAGTAACCAGTACCAAAGCAATACATTCTACCCAGTTCACATTTGCTAGGTACGGTAAGGATGGTAGGTACGAGGTACCCCAAATATTGTGTAGGTGCATCGGAGGGACTACACATACACCCTGGACGGGAATACGAAGAACCTACCGCATGTTTTGCTACGCCAACACCCTCGAAAAGATTTTTGGGATGCAGGGAATCGGGCACTCACCTGGGCTCTCCTCTCTCGTGACCCGCAGGGGCGTGTGCCGCCCCTTGCTCCCCGTCAGTGCGCAGTATCCGCTTTAGTTGTGCGCGCGGTGGCCCAAGCCCTGTCACCTGGAGCGCTCGCTGCTCGTCGCCTGGAATGCGGGCTCCGCGTCGCCGGGAACGTGGGCTCCGCGTCGCGGGGAACGCGGGCTCCGCGTCGACTGGAAGGCGGGCTCCGATCCGCCTGAAATGCGGGATCCGCGTCGCGAGAAATGCGGGCTCAGCGTCGCGAGGAATGCGGGCTCAGCGTCGCGAGGAATGCGGGCTCAGCGTCGCGAGGAAAGCGGGCTCAGCGTCGCGAGGAATGCGGGCTCCGCGTCGCACAGAACGCGAGCAGCTAAATGCGACGAGCGGGTGCTGCTCGGCGTTTGGTGCAAGAGCCCTATCACGTCCGCTTTCTTCCCCCTGGCTAGTAACAACGACTCCAATACACTATTGGTTTCTTGTTGTTCCTAGCTTCCCGTAGTCTCCAGTATGTCGTCACTTTTTTTTCTCGCAAGTGCGATCGCGCTTGCACGTTCCTACACTTTGCTGTTGCCAGCTCCTGCGATGGTCGGTAAGCTAGTAATCTGGGCACAGCATCGTCGCGAACACGATTGTGTTGTGGCGTTGAGTAGGTGGCGTTGATACCCAGCACGTGCGCTGCTCCGTTTTTCCACTTCCCGTTAGCATCGAGCTGATTCAGTGGTAACGTGAGGAGACTTCGAGTGAGCCACACTTTCCATGCTCCAAGAGAGGGATGTGTGCGATACATTTGTCGCTTTGGGTTGGTGGGATTCGCAGGTTTGGTGAGTGCGAAATGTTCACTAGTTTGCGGGGGATAGTTATTCTCGCCAAAGGCAGCCAACCGAAATTGGTTTCGCGGATCTCGCATACAGCCTATTTCAAATCCACATAACTTGATATTTTACCATGCTGACCCCGGGCTTTAAGTAAGCAATACATAAGGTGCTCGGTCGTCACTTTTCATCAGCCATTCAAGGGCTGCTTAGCGACAATCATCATCGCACAATGAGAAGCCACACCCACGTCTCCAAAACAAGGCTCATAGGGAGGATGCGAACAACAATCCTCCGCAGTCCCCGCTGAAGAATGGATACACGCTGAATCGGAAGTGGAAGATAGTGTCGAGGTCATCTGTAGATCCGCCGACTCAACTGTTGACAAGGGTTGGGCCCGCCATTGCTAGGGCGAATCATACTTTATGGTCGACGGCGCGGGAGGAGCAGCCGAGTGCCTGCAATGTCCGACAACCCTAGGCGAGCAGGTCGACGAAGTCGGGACCTGCACATAACCACTCCGACGCCGACGACGACGGGTAGTCGGTGGCCGACTTTGATTGGAGTGGTCGACGAAGGGGTTCGTCGACCTGCAGGAACACCGACTTGGTGTAGCGGTGTCCACCTAGGCGGTCGACGAGCGTGTAGATCAGTATGCAGGCTCATACCACCCAAGTCGTTTTCAACTCCTGCAAAGGAACGTGGACGTCGCCAATGTGGTTTTGGCGAAGACGACCTCGGGCTAGTATCCCAATCGTGTAATGCAGTAATGGGGAGCGCGCATCCTCTCTGTGAAGTAATGCGCTAGTGCCATTTATTAGGAATGTTAAAAACGTAACCTTTTGGTTATTACGCCGTGCTGGCGGTGAGGAGATTCAAGAACGGATTTGTGCAGATCAACTTTTTATCAGACAAGAATTGATGGGAATATATATTTTTGTGGACAGCACAGGAACGTGTAACCTGCCTTGGAAATATTTTGACCATTGAAATACACAGCAGAGAAACAATGAAGATATGCAATATACAAGATTTTCCTATTTTATTCTTACCGAGGATTTTCCTTACCCGGTCTACGACGCACAGCAGCCGTTCCTTCCCTAGTCTCTCAGATCACTCTAATCCATTTGATTCTTCATAGCGGTCTATTCTTGCTCCCCCGTGAAATCTGCGGTAAAGCCAGGTTATATTTCCGAACACCGCGTTATCAGGAGCACGGATTCGATATCGTCCCCGCGGAGCGCTTCCACGTCATACCATTATCGCGTGATCCGAGGGTACAGTAGCCCTAGTGCCGCTACTACTTGTACCCGCTACCCAACGATATCCATTAAGACGGTTCGACTTTCGACGGAATCCGTCAATCTTGTCTCAACGTTTCGACGTAGCGGGCGGCGATGAGGAAGGACCCTCAATCCAAGGGCCTGACGGACCGTAAGATCGGCATTGCGATCACGCTAGGCGCCGCGCTGGGTGCTCTACTTGCGGTTTGGCAGTTCAGCCAAGGGGTAAGCGGGGATTTAGCAGAGCGGGAAACTAGCGCGGATCCTTTCGGCAGTACAAACGACTAGAAACTTACGCTTCTGAAACCGAATTAAAAGCTGCTTGGCGCCGCGCTGGGAGCTCTCTCTGCTTGCCACGAAGCGGTTCAGCCAAAGGGGTAAGCGGGGATCCAGTGGGGTTACATTCGACGGTATAACGAAGAAAAAATAGGCCTAAGAAACCTTAATGACTGTCGCGCGGCGCGGGGTTGCCCTGCTAGCCGCGCCGGAGTACAGGCAAGGGTGAGTTGCTATTAAATTGAGTTCTGAATCAGTTTTTTAGCGGGGTGTGCGTGGTATACTAACTATTATGCGCCTGCATGATGACCTGCTATCTAACCGAGTTCTGAATCTTTTTTTTTTCCCTGTGTATAACTATCCAGCTAAAGCGTTACGCTGAGCTCTGCTGTGTTGAGGCGTCGCAGTCGCAGGGAAGCTGGTTAGAAACTCGCACAGCTACTCTTCAAGTGACCTAAATGAACTGGTATTTTCTTCTGAGAATTCTTTGAAGTAACATGCTATCGCTTCGTCCCTCCCATGCTCCCGTTGCCCACCTCTCCATTCTCCTCTTCTCTTCTTCTCGCCCTTCCTCGCCCCTCCTCGCCACTCCTGACCCTCCTCCCCGCTCCTCGCTGCCCCTCTCCCATTCTCCCTTCCGCAGGCGGTATCACCAAAGGAGCGTGAGCGCCGGGGGACCGGAGGGAGGAAGTTCTCCCAGCGCCGACTTCTGAGACGTCTCATTACTCGCCTCCTCGCCCCTCTTCGCCCCTC